TATCTAATTTAGGAGGGCTGGAGCTTATCCCAGCTGCCATTAGGCGAGAGGCAGGGCTACACCAATGTTTTTGATCTGGGTTTATTTCATTATGCATCAGTAACCATGCAGCTACTCAAGAAATCACTTAAGTTCGGTCCAGCAATTGAAGTAAACTGCTGCAAAGTAAGCAAAGCTATAGCAGTACATAAATCGACTGAAACGTTGAAAGGCTGGGAGATTAAAAGCCCGAGCTCCTCAGCAAGCTGAAGTGTGTGGCACAGCCGAGGAGGTGAGAAGGCGCGAGCTGTCTCGCTCCGTAACACATCAGCTGCACAGCTGATGAGGGATCGCACGTGTGCCCTGCTGTGGTTGATCACAGTTACACACACAGGGAAAAAAAGGTATTTGGCCACACGAGCTGTTGATGCACTAAGGATTTATTTCTCTATCTATGTGAAACAGTTGGAGCACTTCTTGAGCAACTTTCACCAGTCAACCATCTGGCTTAAGGGGCAAGGTAAGTGTTGCTGTTAGCAACTAAAACACATTTAGTGGAAGTTTGATTTACCTGTGTGCCACTACGTTGACACCACTTTCGGAGAAACATGACTTGTTTTTTATTTAAACCATAAGGTGAGGAGGGACATGCAGGTCTAAATATTAGGGATAGTTACTGGACCACAGTCTTACAAAGCCAGTATGTGACCTAATTGGCTATATCTACGCTGAAACAGCCAAGTGCCCCGAGGTGTATCAACTCAACTCAGTGGACAAAAACAGAAATTGCAAAATAATCTTATAGTGCCTGATCGAAATAGGACTTTTAAGGCTGATACCAAAACTCATATTTAGATATTTACCAATATTTGGTGATACTTTTTTGTCTTTCAGATACACGAAATTGAAACATATTTCCTTAACATTTGTTATATGTAGGTGTTTATTTATTTATTTGTTTGTTTATGCTCTTCCCAACTCTTCTAGGAGCAGCTGATTGTGTTTGTGGCTTCCAAACCTGTGTTGCCAAAAGGGAAATTGCAAAGTGCCCTCAGGGTGACAAACTATGTTTAAGTTTTAGTTATAAATGTCAATACTGATAGTACAGCAAAAAGTTAATATAGTGGTCGCCCCATGATCGGAAGGCCAGGGGTTAGAATCCACTGAACGGCTACCCTGAGGTACCCCCGAGCAAGGTACTGTCTCAACATACTGCTCCCCGGGTGCTGGATTGGTGGCAGCCCACTGCTTCACTGAGTAAATGGGTTAAATGCAGAGGACTCATTTCCCTAAGGGGATTAATAAAAGTATATATTATATTACGTTGTTATCGGTTAAACTGTTAAAATAGCTAGATAACATGATAAACAAGAAGCACTTCAAGAATGCAGACCTCTGCCAATGCAGCTGACTCTCTGTGTGAATTACCTTTTTAAGGAATAGTATCATTGTTTTTTGTATACACTGATTTTGTACCCCATGCCAACATGTTCTCATTAAACATACTTTATAGTGCAGTAAAAACAAGCACAAAGGGCAGGATTTTGTTATTTGCCCTGTTGAATCCATTTTAACATACCTGACACAGTTTTAAGTATAATTATTTTGTATGAAATGTGCAGCATTTATTTCATTTTTTAAAAATGAAAAAAAGTCTTTAAATGCTTAGTAATGAATATCAAATGATATATTAAATATTTTAGCTTATTTATAATATTTTCTTAGTTTAGTAAATTATTCAAGAACATTGTAAATGTATTCAAATTGCTATGTATTTAAACTTCAAAATTCATAATAAAATTAATCAACTATTCTCAAGTAGTATCCTAAGACAACTTTTTCTTGACAAATCAGTCTATTGACCTTGAAGGAGAGGTCAGAGGTCACGTGTGTCATGATATTTTAAATCTCACAATATTTTTTACATGTTGACAATATATCAGTTTCTAAGTTATAAGGCTTTTTGTCTATTTTTGACCGATAAATTATTACGTTGACCTTGAAGACCTCGGTGGATATGAGTCAAATTTTAATGGATTGTTAACATGACCCCACTCTACACCCCTACAAGTTTTATTAGAATTAATTCTAAACCTTTCGAGGTATTGTGTTTACAAACAGGCTGACACAGGCATCTGCTACCAAAAACATAAGCTATAATGAAACGTTCGCTAAAATGAAAGCAGAAAGAAGGGTATTATTGACTGAAATTGCAAGCTACTAGTTGTGAATAAACAGCTGAGGTATTTATTAAACATAATTGATGAATGTTATTTAAATGCTAAGCATGCACAATAACCTGAACTTTGTCCAGGTTCAGTTTAAAATGAGCTCAAATGACATTATTAGAATGTAGTAAGTTGTACCGACAAATGGTTTCTTGAGTCCATCTGATCAGATTTTGGTACAGGCAGCGAACCCACAACAAGATGCTTAGCTTAGATTTAGCTTTAGTTGACTTTTTGATGTATTTGGGCTAAAATGACATCGTCATCATCCTTCTGCTTTTGAATTCCATTGTAAATGCACATTTGCGTGTGCTCATGTGTCTGCGTGCTTTGCTTGATGCATTTTAGAAAAAATATGTTTGCATGCTCTGATGTAAATAGTCCTTGGTCCTTGCGAGGGTGTTGCGCAAGTTTGTGTGTGTTATCCCACAGAGCCACAGACTGATAATTGGTGATGACTCATCCAGACCTTTGTTTGTTATTTTGCATGCAGCGAAGGAGAAGGAGTGAGTGAAAGAGGCAGAGAATGGAAATTAGAGGTATATTTGGACAGCTTAAGTGAGGGGTTTGGGGGGGGATCAGATGGTATGTTGGTGCACGGTGTGTGTGCACCAACATACCATACCATAATTGGAATTGCTTTAAATACATCCAATAGGACAAAACAGATATCAGTAAAAATACAGTTTATTTAGTGAAGCTAAAATTCGACAGTGACCCATAGACTGTGGGGGACCATTAAAGCTCTCTGAAAAGATTTCTGCACTTTTAAAAGGGGTTCCTCTTTAACACTCATACAGTATGTGGCACTGAGTGGGAGGGTACATCATGTTAGATCTCAAAATAAGGTGTGTTACTCATTACACACATTACAAGTTTCCTAAAGAGATTTACACAAGTGTTCAGAAGGATCAGAGGTCACTAACAAACCAAAACCATTGAACAATATGAATGCAAATTCATGTAAACTCAATTAGATATCCAAGAACAGGAATTCCTCAAAACAAACCATCATAAAAATGTGATCAAATAAAAGGAAACAACACTTGAATGATACAGATCTCTGGTTTTATAAAGACAGCACAAGATAAATAAATGTGGGTTCAATTGTTCTAATACCGAGAACTATTTTTTATACAGGTTCAAACATTTATTCAATAATAAATCAGATACAGAAAGAGTCAAATTGTCTCTGTTATCCTAATTAGAGATTTTTAGATATAGACAAACATTAACTTATTTTTGATTGTTGATCAGAAATAACTAATGGTTGTTATAAGTATACCTTCTGTTTTGACTGAAAAAAATACTGTGGCTGATGCACCAGATGAACCATGGTTTTCTCATACACTCAGTTTTATGATAGTACACAGAAAGATAACTGTATGACTGAATATCCTGAATGATATCCATTACATTAATTTTGTAAAAATAACCTTGAAATGCCTGTAGCAGAGCCATAGACTGAGGTTTTTATTTCTAGTTTAGAGATGGACTGTAATACTGCAGGACATCATGACTTCTTTGTTGTATTTCCCAGGCTACTATCTTTATTTGATTTATATCTCTGTTGCAGAGCCCACTGGCATTGTAGTAACTTCCTTCGTCTTATGGGACCCTTTGTGCAACAGGTGATTTATATGTAAAAAACCTTATGTAGCAGTGCTGGTTATATTGTCTCAGTGATGGTAAAACTTCAGAAATGATTTCTTAATATGATATTAAGCAGACTGATGTGATGTATTTTATTAGAATAAACCTTTATTATCCCACGGATGAGAAATTTGGGTGTTAAACAGCTCTTATAGCAAGGGGAATATAAAATATATATAAAAAATTATTAATCCCTTGAGGGGACATTTTTTGTAATTAATAAGTGGTCATGAGCAATTCTCATTTCTTTGGACATTGGCTGCTTTTTATTTTTTAGTCCAGTCCTTGTACCTGACCATTACTTCTTGGTTGTAAGTTAAGCTGCTGAACACTGACATATGAATAATTTAAGCATAAAAAAGGCACCTAACTCAAGGGAGTAGTCAGTGTTGTTTCCATACATAACAAACAACTTAGCAAAGAACCAATTTCACATTGTATCGCTAGCACCCTGTCACAAAAACGCATCATTTGTTCCCATTCCTTTAGTCTATGAGGAATGTCAAAGATATCACAGTTTGACAGGCATAAAATAGTATTTGTGCAGAAATATTAATAGTATTAGCTAGAAACTCGGCATATCTCAGCATGGTGTGCAGTATATCCTTAAAGGATTCTTGGAAACTGGACAAGAGGAAGACAAATCAATGGTAACAGGTCTTATGGAGTAGTTAAGACATATGTAAAATGTGCTGCTTCAAATTGTCATCAGCATGCAGAACAGTGAATGTCTACAGCCATCTGTACACAATTGAGGGTCTGTTTTGGTTTGGGGCTGCATTTCTGCCAGTGGAGTTGGGATCTTGTCAACACTGATTGATTTAAGAATTCAGAAAAGTATGATCCGATTTAGATCCACCATGCAATGCCTTCGGGAAAGCATCTGATTGGCAACAGCTTAAGTTTTCAGCATGACAATGACCCCAAACACACTGCCAATGCAGTGCCCTTAAAGCATATATGGATGGAAAAATACACAGTGAAACACTATCAGTCATGGATTGGCCTCCCCAGAGCCCGGACATCAACATTACTGAAACAGAGTGGGATCATCTTGACAAAGAGCACAATGAAAGGCAGCCAACATCCAAAGAAGATCTTTGAATATCCCTAAAGGAGCCTGGAGAACTATTCCTGAACACAACTTAAAGATATAATAACAAAACATGCCTAAAAGAGTTCAGGCTGTGTGATGAATAATGGTGCTCATACCAAATATAGACTTTCAAGCTCATTAATGCAAATGAGCTTTTTTCATTTATCCAACCTTTTTCATCTTACATATCCCAACAGTCCTGAGGAGTATACTACACAGGATGTTCAACCCAGTCAGGCTTTCTTTGCCTTAGCTGTCCTAACAAAACAAAATAAGTTTTGTGTTCAGCATAAGTAACCATGGTGATTTAGCACAAGTAACCATGGTGATTTATCCAGGTAAAAGTCATGACACAGAATACTCTGACTTTTATCTTAACATCGCTTGCTAACCCATTAATCTCACATTGTAGTTCACCCCTCTGGACTGAAAAAACTCTTCCTTGGTTAAACCCTTCATGTTCAAATTTCTCAATGATTAGTCCAGGACTATTAGATGACTATTTTAATCATTTATCCAGTATTTTCACAGACAATTGACCAATTTCCCCTATTTATTTATATGGCTAGCAATCTTACTTTTATGTTAAGGTAACAATTCAAATTCTTTCAGCCTACTTTTGTATTGATATTTCATTGGATTAATCAATACTGAAAGATGAGAATTTAGTAGCATCAGCAAAATAATTGACAACATTTATGAATTTAGCTAGCTACTGTACAGTATTTCAGCTTGTTATCCATCCTGTTTAGCTCATAACATCATTTCTTTGTGCATGCTGTTGGCTAATAGTTCCAACTATTACTACTCGCTACTACTCACTTAGCGAGTTATCCACTTTCAATCACTTTTAACCATTTTATCTTTTGTAAACATTTCTACTTATTCGAAGTTTTCCCTTCACTGCCTAAAGTTCCTCAGGTCCACTAATTCTTTTATTTAATGGTAACAGCTGAGCTAGTCTTTTCATATACTCCTTGGCTAACCTACCGCAGATGTGCCCTGGATTAGGAATCACTGTCGTAGATCAACTAATGTCACCCTAATGCAGTAGACCCATTGTGTCTGACTGACAATAGACCTGAACTCTTTCACAGTGCAAGTTGTTCCATTACTCTACAACCTGCTGCTCATAAAAACAGGCTTTCTTGAAACTGCTTGAGTTTCCTCTCTGCACAGTGTAGCCATTAAACTTGTCAGTTTCCTCCAGCACAAGCTGTACATTCATACTGTGTGGAGGGCAATTTACAGAACAGGACAGAACTGTCATCAACCTCTAGTTCAGTGCGATCAGAACCGAGTCTCAGAGCTGCCTCTCTTCAGTGTGCTGCTATTAAACTCATCATGCTCAAAGCTCAGGTTATTATGCGACCTGGATATCATTAGCAGCTTCTCGCGCTTACTATAGTCGCGCCTCTCTGCCACAGACTGTGACACCTCCAAGAGCCGATCTCCTTGTTCTTCTCTGTCCTCCAGCCGCTTGTAGCCTTTGGTGCTGCCCCGACTGCCGCTGTTACTACGGCTGCTGTTGCTGCGGTCAAGTCGGGGCCAGCTGGGGTGCTTCCGCTGCTCTGGGTTTACGCTAAGCATACTCGGTCTGCGCTCCAAGTCCAGAGATTTGGAATGGCTGTTGAGCATGTGCAGAGAGGAGTTGGAGCCAAAGTCACTCTTTGCTGCTCCCGGGGAAAGCCAGCAGCCTGAGGTAGAGGAGGGAGCAGGGGAGAGGGAGGACGAGGATAAGGAGGAGCAGCGGGATGAGGAGGAGGCGGAGTTACTCCTGTGTAGGCCCGGTGGTTTGGAGGCCTTGGCAACGGATGCCACGGGAACCACCAGAGACTCCACAGAGGTCAGAGGCTGCAACCTCTCTCCTTCTCTTCTCTCTCCTCCTCTGTCCTCTTCAGTTATTGCCTCCATCTCCGGCTCATCAATAACACAGTTGTTGAGTTTTATAACAGGGAGTGTAAATGCAGAGATAGAGGAGGAGACAATAGAGCGTGCATGGTGTCCTCCCCTCTCTCCATCTCCATCCGCTGACCACTGGTGACGCATGGAATCCGAATGAACCAGCCCGACCCCGGGGCCATAAAATGGGCGATCCTTATAGAGGGGTGCCAATAGCCCTGCAAAGTTACAATCCATCTTAGCCTGTTCTCTACGTCTGTGATACTCCTCATCCCCTAACAACACCTCCTCCTCTTCTGTAGAACCTCTCCCTCCTCCGGCAATGCTTCCAGCACGAGAGAAAGCTAGGAGAGAGTTGCTGGCTAACCGTGCGGCAGTATCGCAGCCGAAGACTCGAAGATCTCCGACTTCTCTCACACAGGTGCTGTTCCGGTGTTGGTGTTGCTTTTGCTCTTTCTGCCTGAGGCGGTGGATATCGATGACTGTGGAGTACATGTCTCTCATATGGATGATCTACAGCAAATGAAAATCGTATTAGCAGAAGTAGAAGCAGCAGCATTTATTTTAGATTACCTGAAAATATTTGAAGCGTTTCATTAAAACACATTATCTCCCTGTAGTTTTAAATTTGTGCACGTTGCCACCGTGTGGCCTTGGGGGACATGTTTCTCACAAGGATTACCAGTAAAGGGAAGGGAGAAGGAGAGGGATAATTGAATCAAAGGAGAGAAGAAGAGAGCATGGAAACAGAGTGAATTTAATCAGAGGGAAAATTGCAGAGCTAAAGGTGGAAGGAGACTGGGAGAAGTCTGATCTGCATGTTATGGAGATGATGAATATGGATGACTAGAGTGTACATGCCCTTTATTTTGTAGAGAGTGGAGGAGGGACAGAAACAAGAATCAGTGACAGGGAAGAAATATTAACTACAAGTTCTGGCTTTTAAATTTAGAAACATTTGATGGAAATATTGCTAAAGAACCTACTTTTGAAGCAAATTATGCAAAAACTAAAGTTGCATTACCCACAAAAACCTTCCAACTTCTTTGTTTCCCATACAGTGTTTGAGTATTTCGACTGTGCGCATCCTGAAGCGATGATTTCAGCCTTACCTTGGTTTCCCTGTCTCTGTTTTCGTGAAGTATTGCATTAGCACAGATGAAAATAAAAATCCCAATGCCCATGGTGAAGGGCCCAAGCATCTTCATCCTCTCAGAGTGAAGATGCTGTTCTAGGAATCGCATCAGAGCGCTCTCAGTCTCCTTGGAAGGCGTACCTAAAACCACAAAACAGCGAGATGAGCCATGAGAGGAACAAACTTTTGCCAGCAGATTTCTAGTCACCCTTCTTCACCTTGCCCATTGTGGCTTGCATTGGCTGCATCCTTTTCTGTCTTGACTCCAGTTCCTCCTCCAGCGAGTATGGCTTTACTGTGAGGCCAGTAACCTAGCGTCGCCATGCCAATCCCTATGGCCAAGATGATTAGTCCCAGAAGGAGGAAAAACCCAGATGCAGAGTAGAGACGGAGTCTACCTCGCACCACTACGACATCGGTGCGCCTCTTCCTCTTCCTAAATGAAAAAGGATGGCAAGAAAACACAAACGGATTTTTGGAGGTAACAGTTTAACAGCAATGGGTAACAAATACAGCAAATTTTCAGAGACTGCAGAAGCAATTTCACCAATACACATTAGCTTTTGTGACAATATCCTCTTTCCTGCTGCAGAGGCAGCAATTTAAAAGGCTAATTTATAGTTCTGTCTACTGTGTTAAAATGAATGCACATGACAATCACCTAGGAGCGGCCTCGGGGGCGGCGTGTCCCAGGCCCGGCGATGTCGGTGGTACGGGCCGATGCTGAGAGCGAGCAGAGTCCTGGCGCTTTAGCTTGGCCAAGCCTGTTAGCACACCTGCCGCTGCAGTCATTCTTCACCTGCAGACACAAATTAGGAGTTAATGACTTTTAAATTCTACTGTCTAATCAGTATCCACATTACTGGTTTACAGTTTGTTGCTAAGAGATTGTTAGGGCCTTGGTGCATACAATTACAAGATGCTGCTGCTAAAAAAAGATGTATTTGGCATAGGTATGCACAGTATAGTCACAGTGAGGAAAAAACACAACTGTATCAAAACACAGATGCACATGTGTTTCAGCATAGTCACAGTCTCCCAGGTAGTCCTAATATATGATGTGTAAGACACGTAATAGTCAGTAGCACACCGTCTCCCACAGTTGTGCAGATCACAGCTCTGTTTGTGTGATTTAAAGCTGATGTGTCACCTCATGCACTTTTTCAAAGCTGTTTTATTTATTTTTTTGCTAACGGGGAAAGTGTGTCATGACGAAAGCGTGTTTTAGCATCTTTCCAAGTCCCAGAAATACTCTTTAGAGCCTAACAGTGATACAGATGTAAGCACACCAAGCAGCACAACAGCCTGCTCTGCTCATGTTTTGTTCGGCTGCCTGTTGTCAGTCTTCAGGACGATCATGGGGACAAGTGTGCAAGTGTGCATGCACATGAAGCTGTACATTCAGGCCTGCAGGATGCTTGCAGGATGTAAAGGAAACAAACCCCAAAAGCATACTTGGCTTGTGATTTGAGTCTTGGGTAGTGTGTTTCATTCTGATTCACATCCTGTATTTATTGCTTTTGCATGTTTATTGTTTTTTCTCCTGTTGTTATTTGCATTTTTTTTAAAAGCTGTTATAGATTTTAATAAAATACATCGCCTTAATTCTGTCATAACATTCGAATGAATCATGGTCTCTGGGCTCACCAGCTGCTCATACATCTATTATTGTTATTAAAGGAAGGGGGCTTAAACGAACACAGGTTTATTTTGAAAGCACTCATTTGGGTCTAAATGACTGTTAATCTGACCTCACATGAACATTAGCATTGTCCTGTTGCGCATGAAGAGGATTACATTGACTGAATTTGTTGCTGAGTGACCTTGGTACTGAATTTAAATGCAAATTTCAGATGAAAATGTGAAAACAGCTCAGCAGTTCAGAGCGAGCCCTGTAAAAATTAGCAGCGAACAACCGCTGGTTTTCTCCTGCTAATTTTATTTGTGATGTTTATAGGGTTTTCTATCAGACTACAGCCCCCAAAGGTAATCAGTAGGTCAATCACCCAGTTTATGTGAAGTGTGATCAAAGTTCTGAGTATCATCCTGCCCTCTCAAGCGCCTCCAGACTGCTTTCAGGAACTCACATCCTCAAACTTGCACAGAGAAAAAAAAGCATCAACTTGTCTTTCAAACTGACCCATGCTTAGTATGGAGGCCCACTGCTGCTGCTCATAATTAAGTCTCCCTGCAAGACCCAACGTTTTCACTAGGGGTGCAACAATACTCGTATCGATATCGAACCGTTCGATACAGTGCTTTCGGTTCGGTACGCATGTGTATCGAACAATACAAAATTTTGTGTTGAGCGTTCAGTGGATCTGCGTTCGACTACTCCGCCTAGGCTGCTCTGTCGAGCGCAGATCCACTGAGCGCAGCGCAAGCTAGCAAGACAGAAGCTAAGCTCGTTGCAACATGGCAAATTGAACCTCCCCCACCCTCATTCAGATGTGGCCTTTGGAACTATCTTGGTTTTCATGTGAAGCATGACCCTGATGGTAAGCGTGTCATGGACAAAAGTAAAACAGTATGTCGGATGTGCCACGCAATGCTCAATTGGTGGGAACTAGTGCGTTAGCGCAATTAGCTTGTTAACGTGTTGACGCCGTCCAGCCCTACGCACGGGGCGATCTGCGGTAACTTGTTAACGGAAATTTGCCGCGTTATGGGGTTAATGTCATTTTAACGAGATTAACGCTGACAGCACTAGTGGGAACACAATGAATATGACTGCACATTTACGCCGACATCATCGTAGTGCAAAGACAAGTGGAAGCAGACAAAAACAACAAGCACACATGCTACAAACTTTACCCGAGTCATTTAGACAGCCGTTAGCACATGATTCTCCTTATGGGGACCTGATATGTTTAATATGCTGCTGAGAATATACCCCAGAAGAAGCGTATAGTGTAGCTTTTATTTTGGAAAGAGCCCTTTCTCTGTAATAAACTCTCTTTTCCAAAGATGAGTGATTTCTCGATCAGATAGATTTATTATTTTGTTGTTTACATTAAATTTAAAAACTGTACTTGAGTTAAAATATATATTTATAATTTTAATAAATGACAAATTAAAAAGGCATGAACATTTTTTTGTATCGAAAAAATATTGAACTGTGACACCAAAGTATCGAACCGAGCCGTGAATTTTGTGTATCGTTGCACCCCTAGTTTTCACCACTTTTTACTTGAAGAGGACAGAGTGTCCACGCCTGAAGGAAGCACATAAGGTCAAGAGCAGGATCAGGAGCATACTCGCCTTTCCCACAAGGTTGTGCGATGTGAATTTGTGAAGCTATTAATGCAGAGCTCTGCTGTAACATCCTGATGTTTGAAGAACAACATCCAGAACCTGTGCTACTGTTCATGCCATAATGTGTCGGCACTTAAAACAGAAAGAAAAAAAGAACCTGTTTTTTGTTTCTTTGGCCACACAGGTTTGACTCCTCGCTTCTCCACGACAACGTAACAAAGTTGTACTCCAATTGAGTGATCTAAAACTAGCAGCTGTGCTGGAAGTATGCGACGGTCCATGAGAAGATAATCCCAAACAGGGCTTTTTAAAAATAATACATTTGACTTGTATGTGCTGTTAACCCACCTGAGCACAAAAACAGCCATACAATGATGAATTTTGGCAGCAACTGGACATTCCAATATTTCACAAGTTCATTGTCTCCAATATTGAATAAGACTGTAGTTTTTTTTTGAACAGTTTCTGCACAGTTTTTCAGTTAACAATTCATGGAAAAAATAAACAAATATGGTTAAATCTATTTTTCTTGTTTTGTTTTGTTGTCTTTGAACCTTAGCTGGGTTCTCACATGATGCATCACATACTTATTTTTCCTGACTCTTATGTACTCCGTTTACATCGCTGAGTCCTCACTTTGGGTTTTGGACCTTCCCCCAGTTAGCTGCATTTTGGTTTTCTCTTTTTCTGGAACCTTTAAACAGGAGAAACAACAGCTGTGATACTGATGAATGATGATCTTAACGTTGTGCAACACAATTATTTAAAGCTACGGTAGATTATCTTATGGTGTAGAGGTTAACACATTTGATTGGCAGGCATATGGCTCTTTGTTCAATTCCAGCTAGACACACACAAATCCCCTTAAGGGATGGTTCAGGAAGCTAGCTGCTGTGGTGACCCTTTGCAGCAAGGGAGCAGTCAAAAGTAGCTTTAGTAATATAAACTTTCATTTCACAAACAAGCTTACCAGCAAATAACTTGAGGCCAAATGTCTAGTGTAAATGTATAAAGCACTGAGTAGATTGTACTAATAATGGTGCACTTGAAACACTTCTACCCCCAAAGGCAGGGAGTATGCAATCAGTTCCATTTGCCTGTTTGTCAGCAGTCTAGCGTCCACAGTTTTCAAGATATAATTTTCCAGTTTTGTGTGACGATAGACCAATAACAGCTCCAGCTGACGTCATCGTATTATAATAAGACAAATGTCATGAAATGTCAGTTTTAGCATGGCCCTCTCTCTCTGCTTTCTGAGTGCTATCAGACATGCTCGCTTATGTATTTATTATTTCATGATCACAGGCATATTCAGAAGAATATAAAGAATACTTTAATGACCCATTGCCTGACTTAGAACAAATGTGATGTCATTCTTTCTGTATTACTTACTTTTATGTACCATAGGCACATGTTCTGTGTAGTCATGTGTTACAAAGTTATTTGGTTCCCAGGTTTGTAAACAGTATGTCAGCCTTCGGGCATGTGCACATGTCTGTATATATAAAGGATCACACAGATTTAGCATGGGAATGATAATACACCAATGACCTTCCCTTTTCTTTTTTTTGCTTCCACGTGTCCATCCTGTCTTCCTTTTTCTTCCAAGAAGGCACAATTTGTAAATCTCCCCCCCTCGCTTCCATTCTCACCCGCTGTCTGTGTGCTAATGCATTCTGGTTGTGACCCTGAATAATGTTTGCTTTCTCCTACTTTCATTCTTTCTCCACCCCAGCTTACTTTCTCATCTTATCGCTCTCTTTGTTTGTCTCTCTCTTCCCTCCCACCCTCTGTCCTCTTCGATCTATTTTTAATCTGTATCTAATTTTAATTGAATTTTATTCGGTCACTTTCCTGTTTCGCTCTATCCCTCCCTCCCTCCCTCCTTTCCTTCCTTCCTTTCTTTTCTTCTGCATATCTGAAAGCAATGAAGTCAGATTTAATATTCAAAATCAGACAAAGCTTTTAGTATTCAAAGTAACTGTGAATCACACACAAGACCAGACGTTCTCTCCTCCTACCCTCTTTTCTCCTTCTCACATTTTAATGTATTTTTCATGTCAATCATCTTATTGGTTGAAAAAAAAAACTGCTGTAAGAGAGCGCTCTCCACCACAGATGGTGAATCACACAAGGACAAACACAACCAGCCACTTTTCTCAGGTTTTCTGTGCTCCCCCTCACTCTGCCTCTCTCTCTCTCCCTGATTCTCTCCCCTTCGCTCCTCGGTGTGCGTCAAACAGGAACCCACACAAATGTTTCAAGAGCAACGGGAGAGATTTCCTCGGTTTACCAAACCAGGAGGAAAAAGGATGGACGGCGGTGGCAAAGAAGAAGGGTAGCGAGAGTTGGAGTTAGGAGTAGAAAGTAGAGGATAGATGACAAAAGGAATGCAAGAACAGAAAAAGAATGAGGATGGAGTATATTTATTTACATCAGTTCATGTAAGGTGCAACACTGAGTCATGCTTTCACCACAGAGGGACAAAAAAAAGGGAACAACTGTTCTGGGACAAAGTGGGGGTGATGAGTGATCGAAAGAGCA